GTCCTCAGCCAGTCCTGATATGTGAAACCAAGTAGCCACACTCATGTTTTTGTATCAATTATATATTCTTTTCTGACCCCCAAAATATAAGTGCCCTATCCCTCCCTCAGCAAGTATGAACCAGCAAAAGCTACGTGTTTCCCAATCTTAAGTGAATTGCTAACTGGCAGAGTTCTGTATGAAAGGTGACAACTTGCATGCAAATCTTCACAGGTTAAAAGTTTGATGCATTTTGGCATGGCATTGACAAAATCCACCTTTGGGTGCGAGAAATTGGTTTGCCAGCACCACAATTGGCACACTAACAGGGCAGAAGGAGCACACAAATCATCGATGGTTGGCACTTGGTAGATATGGAAAAAATCCCTTAAAGCTTAACAGAGTTTGTATCAACTTTTGTGGCTTGGCTTAATTCAGAATTTAAACCATATCAATATTCATGCATCCTCAGGGACAGTTTTCCATGTCAGTCGTATGGAGTCTGGTGTTTTAGTTGGAATTTCCTGTACATATACTATTTTGTGGCTGTATTAGGAAAATGGCTCATAGTTATGAGTTTTGTTTTCTGTTACCTAAAAGCCAAAATATACCAAGCTTGGTTAGTTTTGCAGCCTGAAAAGTCCAAGAATTTAAGCTATTTTTTTGGGGGGGTCTTCGGAGTTGTTTTTGACTGCTTGATGTAATGCAAGTGTAGAAAGTTACAGGATGGACAGGGACCATTCACTTATCATGTTGCTGCTGCCACCAACTAAGCAGGTAATGACAAAAGCTGTGATTGCCTCAAGCTAGAGCAGCAACAGAGCCAGGTATTGCATTGTGAGGGAAGGTATCGGCTCAGGGGTCCTGCTCTTACAAAAGCCAAATGCAAACAGATAAAGCAGGAAACGCTCAGCTGGGCTGACAGCATCTGTGAAGCCGCAATGGTGGAACCTTCTTTGTCAGGCAGGTGTCAAAAAGTGATGTGTCAACAAAGCAAGGGTGACGTGAGGAAACTGTTTCTCACACAGCAAGCAGTTAGGATATGCAAGGCACTGCCTGGAAATGTGGTGGAGGCAGGTTCAAATGAAGCATTCAAATGGGCATTGGATGATAGTTTGAATAGAAGTGGTGTGCAGGGGCATGGGGAAAAGGCAGGAGATTGGCATTAAGAAGTAGAACTGGAGCAGGTATACAGGGCTGAATGGCATCCTTCTCCGCCTTAATACCTCTGTGATTCAACCCTGTCTACACACGTGATGCAACACCCACGCTAATTTATAGATGGACGACAGCTGGGCCATGTGTCTACTGGCACTTGCATGGACACCTGCAGGTTTTCCTCCTCACTGAGGACCCCTGGATAGAACATTTTAGCTGCTTGAGGCTGCTGAACCAATCAGAGGCCAGCAGCTCTAGAGACGGCAGCATAATAGAGGAGGTGGTGGCTACTGCCAGCACAGCATCCCTGGACTCCGAAGATGTGTCAGTGATCATGGACAGAGTATGTGTTAGTGGAACTGTCTTGCAGGGAGAGTGGGCCCTTGAGGTCAGAATCAAGCACATTCCCATTCCATGTCTATGCCCTTGATCAGACAGAAATTAATGTGGATGTGGGAACTCCAGCCACTCACATCTCACTGGGCAGTTGGGCTGCTTGTTCCATGTCCCACTTGGAGCCTAGAAAATTTCAGCGCACGCAGGAATAGGGCCTTAGGTGATCCTTAATCAACCAATTAATTGATCGCAAGGCTCCTAACTGAAATCAGAATGGGAAGGTTGCTCATGGGCTACCTGTCATTTTTCCCAGGCTGTTTATAAAATTTCCCAAGGCTGCCCCTCTACTTTTATACAGGCCAGAGGATCCTGAAGAATGTTTCCGGTCTGTGACCTTACATCAAACTGGGATTAATTAAATGTTCACTTTTTAAAAAAATTTTACACAGGATGTGTGCATTCCTGGAGAACAGCATTTACTTCCCATTCCCCAATAAGCTTTGAGAAGGCGGTGGTTATGCTGCCGTCTCTGGAGCTGCTGGCCCCTGATTGGTTCAGCAGCCTCAAGCAGCTAAAATGTTCTATCCAGGGGTCCTCAGTGAGGAGGAAAACCTGCAGGTATCCATGCAAGTGCCAGTAGACACATGGCCCAGCTGTCGTCCATCTATAAATTAGCGTGGGTGTTGCATCACGTGTGTAGACAGGGTTGAATCACAGAGGTATTAAGGCGGAGAAGGAAGGCCTTCTCGAACTGCTGCAATCCATGTCAGAAGGCAGACCAGTGGTGCTGTTAGAGATGGAGTTCCAGGATTTTGCCCCAGCAACAGTGAAGGAAAGATGATGTAGTTCCAAATCAGGATGGAGGGATACTTTCAGCAGATAGTGTTCTCATATATCTGCTACCCTTGTTTTTCTAGATGATGCAGGCTGTGGATTTGGAAGGTGTTATCAAAGGAACCTTGATGAGATGCTACAGTACAAATGGTGCATGCTCCTGCCACTGTGTGTAGTGGTGGAGGGAATGGATATTGAATGGGGTGCATGGTTGACAGTCAAGTAGGCTGCATTGTCCTCCATGGCCTGTGGCGTGTCCAGTTCAGTTTCTAGCTAGTGGTAATCCCCAGGATGCTGATAATAAGAGATTTCAGCAATAGCAATCCATTGAATATCAAGGGAAGATGGTGGATTCTCCATTGTTGGAGATGGTCCTTGCCTGGCACTTGTCTGGCACGTATTATTTCGAAAATGTGAAGGTAAAAAGAGCGTAAGGGAAAGTTTGTGATTAGGTATAGGGCAAAAGAAGTTAAATGATAGAATATTTTATGGTGTAAGACTGTATTGAATGGTAATGGGAGAAGTAAAGGAACAGATGTTGTGTGTAGTGGAGGTGTGAAACTACATTTGCTTGCATTATGATAATGTTTGCTGGAAACAGTGTTTGTATGGACATTGGCTAAGGACACAACTTAACCTGTCTGTGATGTTACTCATCCGTCAATTAACTAACACACTGGTACTCATTATCTAGGTCTACATCTAAACAATGCCCACTTAAGCTATATCGCCTCCACCCAAAACTATGACCACTTCAACCTCTACTGCTGAGCTGCAGTATGCAGACAACACTTGCATGTGCAAGCACTCAGAGGCTAAGCTTCATACCATTGTTGATACATTAATGGAGATATGAGAAAATGGGTCTGAAGCTAAATATTCAGAAGGCAAGCCTCCTCCTACCAGCCTCTTACTGACATGCAATACTACCCGCTGACTCTCAGGATCCATAGTAAACCAGTGGGCAATGTTAATCAATCCCTGTATCTCGGCAGCAACAGTAGATGTCTATAATTGAACTCAGCACCACCTCTAATGTGCCAACAGAGCTTTCAGCCCTCTCAGGGAAAGAGTGTTTGATGACAGACATCTCATGCTCAGCATCAGGCTCACAAGGACCTATACCCTACAACATGTTGAGTCCAATGAGAGGAGAGGGACAATTGGAACAGAACTTAAACAGTTGGTGCATAATGCTGCAGGTGACTTTTATCTGTGCAGCTTTAAAATGTTTTTCGCGAAACCTCCAGATATTGCAGAATCCTATAGGTCCAACCTCAGAGCTTGTTCTGATTGATTTTCCTAGTGGAGCACTGTACTTGATGAAATATTGAGCATGGACAAGTAAAAGGTTCAGACAACTTTGCTACAGACATGAAAGGAAGCCTTTCACCCAGTTTTTGTTTAAAAAATCCAACATCTATGGAATGACAACAACTGCAAAAGTACTGAAAAAAAAAAGCCTGGAATCACAAACCTGGTGTACTGAAAGCTTTGTGTTATCAGGAATTTTGGCTTGAGAATTGGATTCTGCAATGATCCGAAAAAAGCTATCAACAGAACGACATAAAATATGGCAGTAGACAGATTCAGCCTGTGGTGATTTTTATACTGAAACTAATTTAATGGTCTTGAGAGCAGCTTCTTTGTAAGTATATGCTACAGTGAAAATGCAGTTTTTCAAGCAGAACATTGTTCAACATAACAATGAACTGCCATCTTTGGTATTACAAACAATTCTATTACGTCTCCTTAAACATCGTACATTCCTGGTAACACAGAGCCTGTTTTATTTTAATCAGTAGCTGAGTTATGGGACATAGTCTGCCTTACAAAGTAGAAGTGAGAAAACATGACTAGGAATAAAATATTTTGTTGGCATTTGAAAAACTACAAATGAAAATGTCCAAGTTTATACTTCCAGGAAGTTTAAGGTGATAAACAGAAAACTGTGTAGGTGGTTAGTAAATCTAAGATTTAGATCAAGCAGGGACTTGCTGAAAATGACCCAGATGTGCACGTATTGTTCTTAATCAGTTGTATTCAGCAAATCTAGCAATATGTAGTATCATCAGTTCTGAGGTTTTATTGCAAGCTGGCATGAAATACATTTCATTGACACAGGGCATGTAGATTTTTGAGTTGTCTGAATCAAAGCTTCAGATCGTATGCTACATTGCAATTAGTGCATAGAGTAATTATCTTCTGCAAATAAATATTTCATTCAAAAATAGCAATTAATGAAGCCTGGGACCTAACTATGAGGAATAGATGGAGAATTCATTATTTTTAAGGGAGAAGAGCTGCAACAAGCAGCATACGATCAGGTTAAGCAAGAAAACCAAGGTAAAGGACTGCTGTTTACATAATTTCGTTTACATAATTATGCAGTGTGCATAATTTCGAAATGCAATGAGTGCTGTAAATAACACCTATGAAGGATTGGAGGAAGTGCAATTCCTATATTAGAGTTTCTTGCAAATTGGCAGATTCCTTTACTTCTTAGCGTGTTTGGCCCAACAGGAAATTTGGGCAAATCAAGTCTTTTATATCCGCTTCTGCTAAAATCCATAACCGCAAGTTCACTCCACACTTCATACAAGTGTCTAGATTGTACTAGTGTAGTGGGAAATGAAGTGATACAAAGCTCTTGTGTGCATAAAGAGCCTTTTCTTTATTTCCCTTTTATTCAGGTGCTTATTGCCTCTCTGTGTCTGACTATGACAATGCGAAAGGACTGAATGTGAAGCACTACAAGATTCGTAAACTGGATAAAGGTGGCTTCTACATTACTTCACGAACACAGTTTGAAAACCTGCAGCAGCTGGTGCTCCACTATTCAAGTAAGGTCTAAAGAATTACTTTTCAAATGGAGAGACGTTTCCACGCTGCAAAGCAACTTTAAATGAAATGATTATTTTTAGTATTATAGCTATGTTGCAGGAGACCAGTTACCTCAATTTGTAGACAGCTAGAATGTGGTTCAGAATAATGCCTACAGTATGGGATGGATCACAATTCCAGTGAAAGTAGATTTGGGACCTGCCTCCTTTACCCACCTCATAGCAAAATCATGGCATAAGCTTTTATTCAGTGACCTTAGAGAAGAAATAGAAATTTGTTGCAATTATTATTTAAATATCAAGCAGCAGTCAAAACAAAATACTGTGTATTAGAATGGTGCACTTGCCAGTACAAAGAATCTGAATAAAATTTCACTTTAAACAGCTTCTTCAATATTTTTTGTTTTTAATTCAGTATCTTAACAGTTTAAAATACAGTAGAGGAAAATAAGAATTGTTAATACTACCATAAAACTCAACCTCTAGGATTTCATTACAATAATGAGTGAAGTTGTAGATTAATTGAGGACACATGCCTGTAAGATGTGTAGAACAAAGCACTGCATTTAAAGAGAAATGAGCTGCCTTGAGCCTATGGCCACACACCCATCTACTGAATTTAATGCCCTGTCACTTTCCTGCCACTGCCACAAGAATGCCCACTTAGTCTGATGCCATAGCAGTGGATGAGGACGTAATATACAGGGGAGCACATAAAACAAGCCACTGTGGATGTGCAGACGTATGGGAGGGGTGCCTCTCATTCAAAAGCACTTAATGCCTGATTGAGAGACCTGGCATCAGGAAGGTGGTGACCTACTGAGAGTCATTACCTTGTCCTTCCTATTACCTGTCTCTTCCCACTTTCCACCCTTTTCTACCTGTAATCCTCACCTCTCCCCGCCCTTCTCCTTCCCAACCCTTCCCCTACCCTTACACCTCATCTACCTCTTTCGCCTCAAATTTCACAACATTCTTCCTATAGCAAGGAGACCAGAATTGCACACAGAATTCCAACAGTGGCCTAACCAATGTTCTGTAGAGCTGCAGCATGACCACCCAACTCCTATTCTCAATGCACTGATTTGTTTGACATGCTGACCATTTTCTTGAACTGAACCAGACCATCAAGAAGATATTGGGCCAAAGCAATGGCATCTTTTATGGGTGGAAGGAGAGCTGACATGAGTTTCCAATTAATTGGTCGAAGAAGACATTAGCAGATGAATAACGAAGCGTTTCCACCATTTCTCTGGCCCTTTGGAAATGGAAGCTAGAAGTGGGTATTAGAATTTGGGCTGCATATCCTTCAAAGCAGAGGAAAGTGTCCTCTTTTTAATTAATGAGCAGATGGCACAGTGGCTAGCACTGCTACCTCACAGCGCCAGGGACCTGTGTTTGATTCCAGCCTCAGGTGACTGTTTGTGTGAAGTTTGCACGTTCTCCCTATGTCCGTGTGTGTTTCTGCCAGGTGCTCTGGTTTCCTCCCACAATTGTGCAAGATGTGCAAGTTAGGTGGATTGGCCGTGCTAAATTGCCCCGTAGTGTCCAAGGATTTGCAGGCTAGGTGGATTAGCCATGGGAAATGTGGGGCTACACGGATAGGGTGGGGGAGCTGGGTCTGGGTGGTAATCTGTTCAGAGGGTCAGTGTGGACTTGATAGACCAAATGGCCTCTTTCTGCATTGAAGGGTTTCTGTTCTAGGATATTGCATGAATTGTAAACAAAGCCTTTTGTTCCTTTTTTCTGGCAGAAAGTTTTGATCCCTGGGTGGTAATAATGGAAATTTAGTGGCATAGTGTACATTCCAAATCTCCGCTATGTGCTGCCAGCAGGTTAGACCCAGTTGGAATTACAGGCCAGGAAATCCTCCCTACTGTGCATACATCTGTTGTGGAAGTAATGTTGCCAAACGTAAAGAGTGGCACAGCAGCTTATCTCTTTTTTTTTGAACACTTGCACACTCAAACAGTTCCATTTTATAGATACTTTTCAGCTCCTGTTGGATCAACTGAGTGCAGTAACTCTAGTCATGGGCTTCTTGCCACCTAACTTTTGTCTACACACCCACTGAGCAAACCTAATGCAACACCCAGGAAAAAGAAGTGAAAAATCTGTCTTGTTTTCCTCAGTTCCTATGGATGTGTTAAGTTCCATTCTGCCAAATGAACGATGTCCAAGCTGTAAAATATGGTAGGTGGAGTGCAGCATACAAGGGCTAGTAACCCAGCCCTTTGAGTCCAGGCATCTTTTTCCTATTCAAGATAGTGGAGCAAATGTTCTGACTTAGCACTCGAGCCAGAGTTGGAAATATTCATTAGAAATACAAGTCTAGAGGGTGGCAACCCTAATTTACAAGTTTTATTTCACTATCCATGTGCATGTATGCCTGGTACATTTTATCTTAGGCAATAGAATTATTTTAAGGAAAGTAACAAATGGAAAATCACATATCTGTAAGCAGTGACCTCCTGGCTGAAACTCCTGGTTTGAGCCCCTTCCTGCAGCGAGCATTAAATCAGAAAGATTATCCCTATATTTCTGACTTGGAGACTTGTGCCATTTGCATTTTGTGGGCCTTGAGGTCTGGCAGAGTCTGCTACATTGGGAGGTAGACCTGTTAATTAGGACCATTTATTTTAGGATTTACCAGTAGTTAGATAGGGTAACAGTTAGGGTTAAATTGTGGATATTAATGGGAGCAGTAAATTTACATGTGGCCTGTGAAATCTCTTAGTATATACTAAAGCAGGCTACAAAGTTGAAAAGTGCGTGCACTCGTGCTTAGTTGTGGGAGCCGGGCTGCATTAGCTGGCATAAATGTTTTGAATGCTAATGAGATGTTTACACTGGATAATGGTCTTTCTTTCCAGAGCACGCTGATGGCTTGTGTCATCGGTTGACAACTGTTTGCCCAACTGTGAGACCACAGACCCAGGGATTAGCTAAAGATGCTTGGGAGATCCCACGGGAATCCTTGAGATTGGAAGTGAAGCTCGGACAGGGTTGCTTTGGAGAAGTTTGGATGGGTAAGAGACCTTACACTAAGTCTGATATTAGAGATGATGTATGTTACTGTATTGATGGAAAGATTACTTTGACAGGGAATATGAGCAACTGCTTCAACCTCATCACTATTTCAATTACAGATTTTAATTAAAGTTGCTTTTCAGAGTAGCATAATGTAATATATTTCACATACTATTTTGTGATTGGATAGTTCAATGTTATTACCTCTCCGAGTACCTTTGTGTTAGATTGTAACGTAGCTTTTAAGAAATTGGCAATTTATCCCTCATAATGTCTGCACACTTTGCAGAGATTGCCACATTCCCAGTAGGAATTATGCTTTATCTCAGACTGTATTGAATGTTTCACATCAACTCACAGCACAAATAAAAAGGATTTGCAAATGCTGGAAATCTGAAATGACAATAGGGAAATGCACAGCAGGTTGATTAACAACAGTGGAGAGAAAAAGCGAACTTCAGCTGTGGTTTCTAGTGACAATGAATGCACATCCAAAATGTGAACTTGTACTCGCTGTTTACAAATTATAACCTACTGTAGTGTGTTTCCAGAATTTTGTAAATTTAATCTCAATCAGTCCTATGTATGCCAATTGCCTTTTCCTAACTTCAAAATATCTGCTAAGTTCTTAGTATATGTATCCATTATTAGAAAGATTTGTTTTCTTCCCTCACTAATTAGATTCAGGAAAATATGAAATCTTTGTTTCAGGATAGATTAATAGTGTTACACGCTGAGATAAATTTGTGCAACACATTGTACAAGAATATTGTACTTTTTGTGAGAAATTAAGAGCTTTATAATATTGTGATAAGGATGTTAACTTAAAAATGGAGGGCTCTGGTTTGAATTCCTGAAACTGCCTAATGAGTTTTCCTACAACATGGTGGTTTACCTGATGCAGCAATGCTTATGATATCCTCTGCAGCATAAGAAACTCTGGTATTGAAGAATCCAACAGATATTACAATTATCTGTTAGGTACAAACATTGCATTCCTGTGTTTAAGCTAAGATTAAGCTGTTAGTTTACAATGAAGGAGCATGCTTCCGGTAAAGTGTCATGCTTCAAGTGAACTGAGGTAAGATGGTATATGAGAACTTAATACCCTCAGGTCACATGCTATTAAACAGTGATGATCGTCAGTACATATCTTAAAGTCATAAAGTCACTGACTGTGAGAAATACTGAAACACAATACTGATAATCAATAGAGAGTGCTGGAGGAATTCAGCAGATCTGTCTGTGTCTGTGAAGAAAGACACAATATTAATATTTTGAGTTCAACTTGACTTCTCTTTGGCACAAGAAGAATAGGTGTTGAAGAAGAGTCATATTGGACTTGAGACATTAACTCTGTTTCTCTCTTCACAGATACTGTCACACCTGCTGAGTTTCTCCAGCACTTTCTATTTTTACTTCTGATTTCCAGCATCTGCAGTACTTTGCTTTTATTTGACTGATGATCAGTTCTTTCTGCTTAGTCTGTACTTCATTGGATCACTAAATGGGTCACTTTTAAACTTTCTTTAGGAGATGGTGTCATGTAACAGTATGATGACTAACTATGACATGTGAGGTTCTCTGATTTGTCTTTCCCAGAATTTTAGGGATCAGAAACACCGAATATCTGCATTTAAAGTGATTAGCTTTCTAACAGCCATTAGATTAATCTGAAGTCTCTGAAATGCTCAGAGGGAGCATCATGAATGAGGGGGAGAAAAGGAGGTTCTGTGTGGTACTGCACAGCTTTAGGAATGAGAGGATAGAGAGCACAGAGAGGAGACCAAGGGGAAGAGGGGGATTAGAGCAAGAATAAATGAATTGATGTTGAGTTTGTAGTAAGTTTTTACATGTGTTCTGCTCTACTGTAGGAACTTGGAATGGAACAACAAAAGTAGCAATCAAGACTTTAAAACCCGGTACAATGTCTCCAGAGGCTTTTCTGCAGGAGGCTCAGATCATGAAAAAGCTACGGCATGACAAACTGGTACAGTTGTATGCAGTCGTCTCTGAAGAACCAATCTACATTGTAACGGAGTACATGAGCAAAGGTAGTTATATATGGAATTGAATGGGATGTTCATCACAAAAGATTTAACACTGATGTATTTGACCCCACTGGAATGGAACCCAGTATGTTTAAAATATAATTGTAAAAACTGGTTTTAATATGGAACCTGGGACTAAAAAATAAATTGATATCTTTTTTTCATCATGAGAGTAACACTTCATAATGCTATATATCTTTCTGAGAAATTTAGTTCTCAAAAAATGGGCATGGAAAAGGATTTCCTGAATAAATTCCAAATGGGTTTTGAAACTACTGCGTATTCAAATTTGTGGTTAGATAGTCTTTGGTGCCTTTTGAATTGTGTTCTTTTGTAGTGACCAGTAGTATTTAGATAAAACTAATTGGCCACAGTTCTGTCAACCATATTAATGCTGTTTTTTATAAATTATACATGGAAAAAAGTAAGTTATTGATGGAAAAAAGGTAAGTTATTAAAAGAAGGTTTAGATAGAGGATCTGGATCGGTGCAGGCTTGGAGGGCTGAAGGGCCTGTTCCTGTGCTGTAATTTTCTTTGTTTTTTGCTCTTTGAAGTAAAGTATTGATGAAAATTTTATGTTGTTGTATTATCATTTTTTTATGTTAGTGTGTGGGGTTTCACTTACATGCTGGTCATATCAAAATAACCACTTCAGATTCACTTAGCCTGGTAGCTGAGAAAATAGTCTCTCAGGTTTATTTTGAATTGTGTTTTCATTGCTGCCTAGCTTAGTGAATCCAACAATTTAACAAAGGTTTTGTGATCACTTATATGAGAATAATCAACAAGCATTCAATGATACTGGAGCACTATGTACAACCACTGAGCATTCTTTGAAACTTTGCACCTTGTTTTCAGTTTACATCATTACTGGAAAATGTATTTCTGTGTATCGAATAAATTCTAATAATCATTGTGGAAATGTGGCATGATAGAAAATCTTTGAAACCCACTAAAATAAACAGAAATGGTAATTCTGTTTGTTTTAACAATTTACTCTCAGTTCAATGCCCTGGGGTAGGTCACCTGCCTTTAGCTTCCGTTTAGTCCTGCACCTCTGCGTTACCAATCAAATTTTCCAATTGTACTTTGTGTATAAATGTGCATAGCAAGTTCACTTCATATCAGGAAGTTATTGAAAAAGAGTTGGTTGGCTGAGTGGTTGAGCCATACATTAAACATGAACTTGTAAGAGTCTGAACTCCCTATCATGTGATAGGTATGAAATCCTGACATCACAGCAAGGAGCAAAATTATCAGAGGGACGGTGGCTGTGGGTACCAAGCATGCTGTATTTCAATTTGTTGGAAGAAAGTTGGGGAGGATAGTGCGACATTGCAATGTTTTTGGTGCTGAAAAACTTTTTAAATTGTCCAAATTCACATTTTATTTTGTATGGTATCTGCACAGGTTCTATTGAATGAGTTTCTTATAAATATGATAATTGGGCAGAAAGGAGTAAGAAGATTTAAATTTATTTTTCTTTTTAGTGGGTCACTTGGATTTTTAGGTTCTGACATTCAAGACCCTTAAAACAAGCACAAAATAACCTTGTTGTTTTCATGAAGTTCAGTAATTGGGATGTCTCTCTACCTTAGTGTCCCTCTAAACCAATGCAAATTAATGACCTTTATTCTGACAGACCAGAATGCTTGATGTGGGGAATAGAAAAGAAAATGTTGCAACGGGTCTCTTGAAATTGAGGATTAAGGCAGTGATGTCCAAACTTTTCAGTATCAAGGCACACTTCAATGAGACAAACAATTTCACAACACACATTCCCTTTTTCAGCTGAATCAAATGGACATAAGTGTCACATTTACTTGTATTTACTCGGGTCATGGCCTTACTAGAGAGGTTTGCAAAATAATGTATACAACAAGCATACAAGAATATATCCATTCCTTCTTTGAATCTATTCCAAAACTTAGATTGGTGGCTTAACTAAAAAAAAAATTGAATATTTATTCACCTTGAAATCTGTGCTAGTGTGGAAATGTGTCCAAGCAGTATTTTTTTTAACAGTCATAGAATCATAAAATCCCGAGTGTGGAAGCAGGTCAGTCGGCCCATCGAATCCACACTGACACTGTTAAGGAAAATCCCAAGGCCTTTTATTCATACGTTAGGAGCAAGAGGGTAACTAGAGAAAGGGTTGGCCCACTCAAGGACAAAGGAGGGAAGTTGTGCGAGGAGTCAGAGAAAATGAGTGAGATTCTTAATGAGTACTTTGCGTCGGTATTCACTGAGGAGAGGGACATGACGGATGTTGAGGTTAGGGATAGATGTTTGATTACTCTAGGTCAAGTCAGCATAAGGAGGGGGTAAGTGCTGGGTATTCTAAAAGGCATTAGGGTGGACAAGTCCCCTGGTCCAGATGGAATCTATCCCAGGTTACTGAGGGAAGCAAGAGAGGAAATAGCTGGGGCCTTAACAGATATCTTTGCAGCATCCTTGAGCACGGGTGAGGTCCCGGAGGACTGGAGAATTGCTAATGTTGTCCCCTTGTTTAAGAAGGGTAGCAAGGATAATCCAGGTGAGCTTGACGTCAGTGGTGGGGACGCTGCTGGAGAAGATACTGAGGGATAAGATCTATTTACATTTGGAAGAGAATGGCTTATTAGTGATAGACAGCATGGTTTTGTGCAGGGTAGGTCATGTCTTACCAACTTGATAGAATTCTTTGAGGAAGTTATAGTGGAAGGGAGTTTCTCAAAATGGAGAACTGTGACCAATGGTGTTCCACAGGAATCCGTGTTGGGACCACTGTTGTTTGTGATATACATAAATGATCTGGAGGAAGGTAAAGATGGTCTGATTAGCAAGTTTGCAGATGACACTAAGATTGGTGGAGTAGCAGATAGTGAAGGGGACTGTCGGAGAATGCAGCAGAATATAGATAGATTGGAGAGTTGGGTGGAGAAATGGCAGATGGAGTTCAATCCAGGCAAATGCGAGGTGATGCATTTTGGAAGATCCAATTCAAGAGCGAACTATACAGTAAATGGAAAAGCCCTGGGGAAAATTGATGCACAGAGAGATCTGGGTGTTCAGATCCATTGTACCCTGAAGGTGGCAACGCGGGTCGATAGAGTGGTCAAGAAGGCATACGGCATGCTTTCATTCATCGGACGGGGTACTGAGTACAAGAGTTGGCAGGTCATGTTACAGTTGTATAGGACTTTGGTTCGACCACATTTGGAATACTGCGTACAGTTCTGGTCGCCACATTACCAAAAGGATGTGGATGCTTTGGAGAGGGTGCAGAGGAGGTTCACCAGCATGTAGCCTGGTATGGAGGGCGCTAGCTATGAAGAGAGGTTGAGTAGATTAGGATTATTTACATTAGAAAGAAGGAGGTTGAGGGGGGACCTGATTGAGGTCTACAAAATCATGAGAGATATAGACAGGGTGGATAGCAAGAAGCTTTTTCCCAGATTGGGGGACTCAATTACTAGGGGTCAAGATTTCAAGATGATAGGGGAAAAGTTTAAGGGAGATATGCGTGGAAAGTTCTTTACGCAGAGGGTGGTGGGTGCCTGGAACGTGTTGCCAGCGGAGGTGGTAGAGGCGGGCACGATAGCGTCATTTAAGATGTATCTAGTCAGATACATGAATGGGCAGGGAGCAGAGGGATACAGATCCTTGGAAAATAGGCGACAGGTTTAGATAGAGGATCTGCATCGGCGCAGGCTTGGAGGGCCGAAGGGCCTGTTTCTGTGCTGTAATTTTCTTCATTTTTTGTTCTTTGTTTCTTTGACCCTCTGAAGAGCATTCCAGCCAAAACCCAAACCCCCTACCAGGTACGTGTAACCTTGCATTTCCCATAGCTAATCCACCTAACCTACGCAACCCTGGACACTAAGTTTAGCATGAACAATCCACCTAACGAATCCACAGTCATACAACAACGCGCACCTCTTTACTGTGCAAGCACAGGTACTTCTCATCCCAGAGATACAATCCTCGATTATAGTGCATGCTCAGACTGAATGTTTGGGCCTGCACATGTGCAAGCAAGCTGAACAATGAGCAGATTTCCCATCTTCCCACAGTGACAAATGTCCATGCATGCATGGTGTACACTTCTAACATTACCGTGGCAGACTGATTAAAAACCTCTGGGCTCAGGCATATTTGGTGGCAAAGTAGAATGAAATGTGACTGTATCTTAATGTATTGTACCTTGACCTGAGAATCCTTGATAGTTTCTTTCCCTAAGTATTAAAAAAAATCTATCTTGTTGCTCTATGGCTCTGTTTTGTTGATCACACAGATACAGGATGAAAACGTAATATCATAGAAAGTAATTGAGTTGAAGCCTAAGGCGTCATCACTTTCTTATCTTTTGAATGGTCTGCTATTACAGGAAGTTTATTGGATTTCCTTAAAGGTGAGATGGGAAAGTACTTGAGGCTTCCACAGCTGGTTGATATGGCTGCTCAGGTTAGTGCCAACTTATTGCTAATAAAAAATGCATGAGTTTTAAAAGTCCTTTACGCTCTCATGGTTTTATTTAATGTGTTATGTTACCAATGGCATGATCTATTAATTTAGCATTTCCTAAAATGGACCTCAATAATCTGGGGTCATTCGATCCATAATCACATTCATTCTACACATCAAAGAACAGCTCTGAGTTAGAAGTAGCCCAACTCAACCACTTATTAGGGCCAGGCGAAAACAAATCTATGCATATACGATGATGTTCACATCCAAATTCCAAAAGCAATGTTAAGTAGAGAACCTTGCTGTGAATTTTGCTGTTGTGTCCACTGTGCATTTCATTTCTTTAAACATTAAGAATGTAGTTGCATTTGGTTAACCTTGTAGCTATCAGCTAATTGTAATGGATGCAAATGTCAAGAAATGCTTTAAATGCAAATTATTTCTTGAATTAAAAGACTTTGACGTCAGATTTGTTTCATTAGTAAGGCTTCCCTGTATCCTCATTATCCCAGTAAGCCAACAATTGTGATAAATGAATGACTAGTTTGGTAGAAATGATAATTATCACCTTTTATCACTGATGAAACCAGTGAATTCAAAGACAGTTTGAATGCTAGCTGTGGCTTGGCAAGAACAAATCTAGAAGATGAGGTAGAGAAACAACAACAAGGTAAAGAAAAGGAAGCAAGTCCTTCACTCTGCATTCCACTACTGTGTGGGGTCCATGCGCCCAAAGCTGTGTAGCTCGAGAACTGGCATACTCAGTTACATAAGGAACCATAGCAGAAATTTGCAACTCTAAATAAGTGTCATCTTCAAATTGAGGGACAGCTGATGATGATGTGTTCTAATTTCCGAGTCACAACATTTAAGATCAAGTATTACGGTCCTGGCTGATGGCAATACTTGACAAACCAGATGCCTGAGTAAAATTTTACTTGATAAGTTTTAATGTTTGCACTTGTTTACTATGGTAATTAGTGACTGAACGCATTCACATGGCCCTGCTAATGTTCTTTAACAAAAAAAAACAAGTTTATTTTGTAGAAGAGAAAAAACTATATATCTATATCGTATGTAAATATATATATAAATATATAATATGCATACACGTACATACAGGATGATTTAGAAAAAAAAATTAACATAAATATTAAAACAAAGGTTTATCCTTTTTCCCAGCAGTACCCTTGAGAGATATTCAGTCCTTGCACAATATCCCTCCTATCTTAGCTCTTTAATTCCTTAATTAACTTACTGTATCTGGTCTTAATGGCCTTTAGCCCTCATTCTGGTGGCCTAGGTTGTTCTTTTCAGTTCTGATGGCCTGAACGTCCTTTCAGTCTGATTGCTTGTAAAACTCTATAAGGGCTGTTGTGGTGCAGTGTTAGCGTCCGTACTTCTCAGCCTGGAGGCCTGAATTCAAGTCCCATTTGCTGCAGCAGCGTATACCAACTTCTGTGAGCAGATTAATATAGAAAATATCTGAAAACTACTACACAAAGCACATGGCTTAGAGACTTCACAAACTAATGTGCTTTTTGAAGCTATTCTTCTGAATTGAAAGCTGATTCTGAACTGAATATCAGTGACCCCTGATCTGTTTGCTTTGAATGTAATAAAAGTTCAACTTTGAAAACACTTCATCAATTAATACCACAGGTAAAATGTAAAGTTTACATGGTTCTACCAGATCAAAGAGTTGCTCTGTTATTAGAAGAGACAACTGATGGCAGTTTAATATAAGGGTCACCCCACCTCAGGCCAGGGGAGAGGTTGAGGAGGAGAGTCCTACATGTTAACCACAGACAGGGTGGGAAATGAACCCATGCTGTTGGCATCATTCAGCATTGCAAACCAGCCATCCAGCAAACAGAGCTAACCAACCACCCCCCAACACCACAGTTAAGGTAAAGGTAAAGTTGGCATAGTCCCAGAGGGATACCATTTCATTAGAAGGAGAGAGAGGGAGGAATGACTTGAGTGTTGAGTTTAACCAAAGGGTCACCATGCCTCTGGTAAGAGGTGAGGTTGAGAGACAGGACCTTCTTAATGACTTGAGCCTGTATGTGAATTGAACCAGTGCCATTGGTGTGACCCAGCATGGCAAACCAGCTGTCCAGTCAACTGAGCTAATCAAACCCCAAATGCCACAAGTAGGCTGCAAGGCACTTAAATTATATGTCACCTTGAAATTTAGGTCTTTAGTTCACTGTTCTATATTACTTTCTGACCGCTTTCAAAAAATTCCATTACCATGATTAGTATCACACAGCCAGTCATCTCTACCTTAAAATTCAATTTGCCAAACAATGATATATGTCTTTACCACAAAAGCTGTACTTGGGAGTTTGCTTTGCATAAATTAAATGCTGTGTTTCCTACACTACCATAGTGACTACAGTTCAGAAGTACTTCATTGGCGCTGAAGAGCTTTGCGATTTCTGGTGGTTAGGTGAAGTGCTAGATAAATGCAATTTTTTTAATGATCCTAATTTTACCAAGGGTGATACTTTGTAGCAATATTATCTTCTTTCTTAAACAAAAATACTCTTTTATCTCATAACATTACCTCTATCTCTGGCCAGTGCAAACTACTTAATGAAATATATAAATATGGGCAGGAGAGACATTCCTTTTAATTCGATTTAGGATGTAAAAATATCTTAAGTTGTGGATGATATGAGAAAATCTAGATGAGTATTTGGACATGTTACATTGAGTGTTTATCTCAAAGTGCAGCTGAGTGTTGAACAGACTTCCAGTGGGAGAAAGCCATACAATTCAAGTAGAAAATTATATAGCTATAGTAATGTTTAATGCTGGTTGAACATGGAGAAATCATTCCAAAAGTAAACTGGCATGTATTCCAAACCTAAAGCTGAGTCATTCAGAAGCACAAGATATAAAGTTGCTTTGGCATTAATTGAAAAGTTTGTTACAAACAGATTTCTGTTTAATGTTTTCCATAAACAGTTGCTGAGTGCTGTCTTTTAGATTGCTCACAAGTAGATAGCACTGAAACATATGGAATAAGGCAGGCACTATGGGCTTCCTGGTGTTATATACTAATCCATTGGGGGTGCACTTTAAGTTTTATATTTTCTGAAGTAAATGAACTCATGCCACTCTGGGATTTTACAAGGTAAAGCTGCCGTCAGATTCACCAATGGGCATTGATAGAATCAACTAGATGAGAGTAGGGAAGCAAAAGGGTCACAATTACCTAGTAAATGCTGCCATTCACCAATCGAAGGATGGTATGAGATGCATTATGGCACTTCAGAGCCCTATCTTTGTTTATTGTTGAATCCATGGCCTGTAAATGCTAAATACTTTCATACCCTGTGAAACTGCAAAATGGTTCTCTGGTACTGCTGTTATACTGATGCTGAAGTGTGTCTGGACAAAGATAATAAAAATAATGCACTGCATATTCCACAAAAGAGTACATGGTAAAAAAATTGATAAGTTATAGGTCAATTTTTGCTGTGCCTTCAAAGACAAATGGTATTCATTCAAAAGTAAATCATTCTACCTTTTCTCTTTAAGCTAGAAGTATTTCTATATTTGCCAAAAGGGTATGTTGCTTTCCAATATTTGACCAATGCTGACTAAATGTAAGAATGTCTTTTCCTCCTTCCTCAATCGTTTGATGGTCACCCTGTTTTTCCTCTTGCTGTCATGGATGGTTGTCTAATTCAAAGATATGGGCAGCAATTAATTACATATTAAAATTATTATTTATAAAGCATCATACCATGAGCTACATGTAATGTATTTACAAGCAGGATGAATAGTCAAGGTCTTTTCTCTGGGGTGGGGGAGTCCAAAGCTACAGGGCATAGGTTTAAGGTGAGAGGGGCAAGATTTAAAAGAGACCTAAGGGGCAACATTTTCACATAGAGGGTGGTGTGTATATGGAATGAAATGCCAGAGGGAGTGGTGGTGGCTGGTGCATTTACAACATTTAAAAGACATCTGGATGGGTATATGAAGAAGAAGGGTTTAGAGGGATATGGGCTAAATGCTGGAAAATGGAACTAGATTAAGGTGGAATATCTGGTCAGCATGGACGAGTTGGACCGAAGGGTCTGTTTCTGTGCTATACATCTTAATGACACTATATTATGAAATCCTGTCCTGCAAAACTTACTAACAGTTCCATTTGCATGTAGAGTTCTTTTTGCATTAGACTTTTCATATATCCTTATCTACGTCCCCAGTGTTCCCAAAGAGAGTATCATTTGGTTTTATGTGCTTCACATTTTAGAATACATCAGTATATACCACCCCTGCAGAACTTTGGAAATGACTCCAGAATGCAAGCAAAATTTGATTCTCCTCCATTTTCTTTGTTAAATTCAACGCTGTGTTGCTTCTGATTTACAGATTGCAGCTGGTATGGCGTATGTGGAAAGAATGAATTATGTTCATAGAGATTTACGAGCGGCTAACATTCTTGTGGGCGAAAGCCTCGTGTGTAAGGTTGCTGACTTTGGCTTGGCTCGATTGATTGAAGACAATGAATACACAGCCCGACAAGGTTAGTGCTAGGTGTTTCAAAATTGAATAGTACAACTGACTACAGTTATTGGGATTCTGAAATGTCCTATCATAATCAAATACTTCTAGTTCATTATTTTGAAAGACTGTGGATGTATGCAGTGTGACTAATATAAAATTTAGAGATTCAGGTTTTGGGATATTCCTTTGTACTCAGCTAAGAATCTCCTTAACATTGACACTTGTTTCCAGAATCTCATAATAACACAAGATGGTTCATTGATTATGGCTTCCAGTCCCAGAAAATCACCCTCATTCAATCCAACATGAATTTTCCATTGCTGAAATGTTCCTTTTTGTCTGACATTGCCAGTACATTTCTAATAATAGGCAGTTTGTTCTTTGGATCCTCCCAAATCTACTTGAATAAGGCTATAATGTAATCTTGTGTTTAAGCGTGGAAATAGGAAACATTCACTCATTCCACATGTCTGGCTTAGATTCCAGCTCTGAACCCAGAGATAAAATGACATGAACCAGTTTTGTGCCGCATTGTTTTCTTCCTCTCATTTTTTTTCTCAGTTTCTTTTATGACCATTTTTGACTGCACAGTGCTTAATCGGATCAAGTTGGTTAATATGCCAGATGGAAAAGCTGAAGTTTTATTCCCTTTCGCCTCAAGGCTACAGCAGGGCTAAACTCGATAAAGTCACATATTGCTTCAAGCCACAATTTCATCTTGTTCCAATGACCTGATCTTATCAAGATTTCACAGTGTAAAATGAAATGAATTATTAAAAACCTTGTGGATTCTGCAACTGTATTTCATATTAGCTCAACTAATCCCTCAAAAAAAAAGATTATAATGATTTCAGGAAAAATGAAATAGTACTGTATGAAACAAGGCAAAAGAAGTACTGGTGTCGATTAAGAAAAAGTAAATTATTCATACAAAAATAGACATTGTGAGTTTGAACATTGTCGAATTACTTCCCCACCCCCTGCTTTGGTAATGTGGACCTTGGTTTTATATCCTTATTTCTTAATGTAAAATCTGTACATCCAACCAGTGAAGTTAAACACAATAAATATAGTTCCTGAAGACCTTCATAAGAAAAAAAAAGCTGCATTTCTTCTTTTGCTTTATATCAGGAGTTAACCCTATAGGTATAGGACAAATCAATGGAAAACATTTGTGTAAATAGGATTGAGTTACCTGGTTTCTAGGACTAGGGTTTGGAGGTGAACTACCTCCTAGCTAGACAATCATAGATTCAAATACTGATCCAGTACTTGAGGCCTTCAGAGTACCCTGAGGGGGAGGCTGAACAGCAAGCAGCCATGGTTCACATAGGTAATGTCAACACAGGTGGAAAGAGAGATGTAGTTTTGCAGTCAAAATTCAGGTAACAAGGCCGGAAATTAGCAAGCAGGACTTCAAAAGTAGTAATCTCTGCATAACTCCCAGTGTCACACACAGGCAGTACAGACATGAGTGTGTGGATAAAGGTGCTGCAGGAGAAATGGCTTTAGATTCTTGGGACATTGGGACTGGCTGTGGGGTTGATGGGACCTGTACTGGATCATTTGCACCTGAACAGAGATGGAACTGAATTTCCTGCTGGACATTCTGCCAGTGTTATTGGTGAGAACCTAAACTCACGCCGCAGGGTGTCGCCAGTAACACTCATACTCCATGAACAAAGTAAAAAAGACTCAGCTGTCAGAAGTTTGGACAGAGCGGGCATGGAGAAAATATTCCCACTCATGAAAGGTTCAAGAGCAAGAATCTGTAGATTTAAACACGTTTCTAAAATAAGCGAATGTAATATGATGAAAAACCTTTTTATGAAATAAATGGTTAGGGTCCTGCATTGCACTGCCAGAGTCTGTGGCAGGCAGATTCGCTCAAGATTTCTAAATGGGAATTTGATGGTTATTTGAAAAGGAGCAATGTAATGTGTTGCAGAGACAAGGCAGGATATTAGAAATAAGTGAGGTGCTCATTTGGACAACCAGCACAAACATGATGGGTCACAGCACAAACATAATGGGTCGAATGGCCCCCTTCTGCTTTGTAAAAATTCTGTGATTTTGTGAAATTGACCAGGGCAGATTGCTGAAATCTACTAAGTTCCATCTTTGAATTAGATTTAAACCAAAGCCTTCCTGCCTCATTCAGGTGAAAGTTAAATATTGAAAATATATTTGCATTCCAGATAATTTTCATTATCAATTTGTCTTTACTTGAAACAGGTGCCAAATTCCCAATCAAATGGACAGCTCCTGAAGCTGCACTGTATGGGCGTTTTACCATAAAATCAGATGTATGGTCATTTGGAATTCTAATGACTGAACTAGCTACAAAGGGAAGAGTGCCATATCCAGGTAAATTTCAAAATAGTAAATGATCAATTTATTTGTGCAACAGCCAATAATCCAGAAAGCAGCAGAAGTAGCAGGTCTTGCCAGATAAAAATTTATGATACTCAACAAGCCTCCACCACTGAAATTGGTGTTGGTGTTAACATGATTTACCCAAAAGTAAGCAAGTAAAATGCTTATAAAAATTGGTGGACCTAGGGAAATGATTGCTGGGCCCCTTGCTGAGATATTTGTATCATCGATAGCCACATGTGAGGTGCCAGAACACTGGAGGTTGGCTAACGTGATGTCCCTGTTGAAGAAAGGTGGTAAGGAAAAGCCAGAGAACTATAGACCGGTGAGCCTGACATCTGTGCTGGGTAAGTTGTTGGAGGGAGTGCTGAGGGACAGGATTTATATATATTTGGAAAGGCAAGGACTGTTTAGGGGTAGTCAACATGGCTTTGTGTATGGGAAACTGTGTCTCATTAACTTAATTGAGTTTTTTGAAGAAGTAATGAAGAGGATTGATGAGGGCAGAGTGGTGGATGTGACCTATATGGACTTCAGTAAGGGGTTCAACAAGGTACCTCATGGTAGATTGGATAGCAAGGTTAGATCACATGGAATACAGGGAGAACTAGCCATTTGGATACAGAACTGGCTCAAAGGTAGAAGACAGAGGGTGATGATGGAGGGTTGCTTTGGAGACTGGAGGCCTGTGACCAGCAGTATGCCACAAGAATCAGTGCTGGGTCCACTGCTTTTTGTCATTTATATAAATGATTTGGATGTGAGCATACGAGATAGGGTTAGTAAGTTTGAAGATGACACTAAAATTGGAGGTGTAGTGGACCGTGAAGTAGGTTAACTCAGAATGTAATGGGACCGAGGAGTGGCAGATGGAGTTTAATTTAGATAAATGTGAGATGCTGCATTTTGGACAGGCAAATCAGGGCAGGACTTATACACTTAATGGTAAGGTCCTGGACAGTGTTTCTGAACAAAGAGACCTTGGAATGCAGGTTCATAGTTTCTTGAAGGTAGAGTCACAGGTAGATATGATTGTGAAGAAGGCATTTGGTATGCTTGCCTTTTTTGGTCAGTGTATTGAGTATAGGGATTGGCAGGTCATGTTGCAGCTGTACAGGACATTGGTTAGGCCACTTTTGGAATACTGTGTGCAGTTCTGGTCTCCTTGCTATGGGAAGGACATTGTGAAATTTGAAAAGCGTTCAGAAAAGATTGACAAAGACGTTGCCAGGGTTGGAGAGTTTGAGCTATAGGGAGAGGCTGAATGGGGTGAGGCTACTTTCCCTGGAGCGTTGGAGATTGAGGGCTGACCTTGTAGAGGTTCATAAAATCATTAGGGGCATGGATAGGGTAAATAGACAAGGTCTTTTCCCTGGGTTTGGGCAGACCAAAACTAGAGGGCACAGGTTTAAGGTGAGAGGGAAAAGATTTAAAAGGGATCTAAGGGGCAACCTTTTCACACAGAGGGTGGTGCGTTTATGGAATGGGCTGCCAGAGGAAGTGGTGGAGACTGGTACAATTATAACATTTAGAGGGCATCTGGATGGGTATATGAATAGGAAGAGTTGAGAGGAAAATGGGCCAAATGCTGGCAAATGGGACTAGATTTATCTAGGAAACTTGATTGGCATGAGCGAGTTGGACCGAAGGGTTTGTTTCTGTGCTGTACATTTCTATGACTGTATGACTCTGTAAATGTCACTAAGTGACTGCCTGTTTTAATCGTTAGTAATTGCATCCAGAATCTCATCATTAACTTTAACAAGCTGATTGAAACAATGTGAAGACCCAATTATTTTTCAAATAAGTGCAGCCTTTCAATTTGGCAAGTATAGGGTAAAAACTCATTGAACTGTCCAAAGTAGTTGCTATTGTTACTCTAAACAACACCTTTGTAATTGAGTCAGATGGCTGTATCCCAGGATTAACACTATTTACTTTATACAGCACATTCCCATGCTATGCATGGATAGTGTAACTGGAGGACCAGATCCCCATAAAGTGTTGTCTAACTTCACTGGATTGAAATAATCTGAGAAAATGGCACAGGATTTCCAACATTTGAAAGGAGCTGTTATGTTGGTTACCTAAGAGTATCTTGCCTGAGAGTAGTTCTACACCCTTCTTGTTTATAGCTTGGCTGTGGGTCAATTGTGGAAAATACGTTTATTGTGTACTGAATTAGCTGATCTCAGTCTAGATTTGCAGCCAGAGAGCTGAATCTTGCAAGTTTCTTGGAGATGATTACAAATGGGAAGGATTTGTTGACAGGATACCAGCCTCTGTGGAGTTATTCCAGGAGGGATTTGAAAAGGGGCAGGGAATTTCTTCAGAAAACATTTCTTCAGAAAACATTTCTTTAGAAACATTTTGGGCAACATTCCATGTAGTGTACAGGATGTGGGACAATTTGCACTATTAATGGCTGTAGTCGGGGGCATAATCAAGGTGGTCTCCAGAGCCCCAGCTACCCCCTCAGGGAGGTTTCTCCTCCATCCGATGTGGGTTATACAAATCTTGGCCTCAAAGGTTCTGCATTGCCTCAGAGGTGCCCACCTCTTTTAGTCAGGGAGTTTCAGCTTCAGAGATGCCAGCCTCTGATTGGACCGTCAGCATCAGGAGCCCACATGCCAGGGCAGCCTGCAAGCAGTTAATGAGAAGACCTCAGGCTGGCCATGATGTGTTCACCAAGCTGGGGTACCACTGCCAACATGTGTGTACTTGGGGTCTACTTTTCAGCCCATGTCAGAACCTAAAGCCCATGTTAACACTTCAGCCCAGAGGGGGGGCAGTTGGAATCTGACTCCCTGAACTCAGGAAAGGTAAATTTCGATTGACTTCCCTGTCTTGATTGCTACATTAAAAACAAATTAAGCAATCTGGTCGGACATGACACAGTACACCTCTGGGGGCAGCTGGGACTTGAATCCGGAGTAAGTAAAGAACTCTCAACCTTCATATGTACAGAATCTGTCACAGTTCTGGTTATCTTTGCTTTATTTGAAATGCTGTGGAACGATTGAACTGAATTTCAACTACCAAGCACTTTTGATATAGCATTAAGGCACAAGTGATTCACTAACTGTTGCTTTATGCTCAATAATAATTGGTGCTCTATACATATTTTCTGTAAGTGTCCATTCTGTAATGGGTTAGCCCTGTACTTGGTATTTAAACTCTCTTGTAACTGCTTCATCCAAGAAAATGTTGTCTTGTTAAACGGTTGACTGAAAGCAACTCTTTCATTTAGTTAATTTATCCAAAGTTAAGAGTGGGTATTGTTCGACTTCTTGTGTAATGCATTGCATATTTGGCAAGATTTTTGTGTTACAGATGCAAATTTTCCCTTCTGAATTTCCAGTTTACAAAAATATGAATCTGTGTTTACACTGCGCCTTATTACACCTCGTGTGATATCGCAAATTACTTTGCATCTAATTAATTATATTTTGAAAATCAATTACGGCTATGTGGATCATCAGATCAGACAATTGATGCAGACTTGGTTAAGTGATTAACTATAAACAGGTCCAATACTTTACTTCTCCACTCATTGTTTGGAAACAGAACTTGACATCTTGTCTCTGCAGGTGGCCGGAGCAGCGAAGCAGGTGATTTACATCAGTTGGCATTAACCTCTGATGGACATCTTCTGATTATTTCATGAATGAAACAAAAACTAAGCACTTTGACGGGCTGGTTATTTAATAGTGTGCACTCTATCGAATCTGGCTGGGCATTAAGTATAAACATTTCAATATAATCAAGTAAATCATCGTGATTCAAGGCGATTGCAGTCTGTGTTATTCGGCAGGGGAATTGTAGCTTATTGATTCTTTCGGGCTGTGCAAACGAATTGTAGAACAGTACACAAGTCTCATTAACAGCATGTTCGCGTAACTATTGTTCTTCTCTCTTTGACTGGTTATTTCTCCAAAGCAGATTGTTTGGAGACTGAATTCTTACTCATGTCAGTTTGTTCTGATTGGCAGGAATGGTAAATCGGGAGGTATTGGATCAGGTGGAACGGGGGTATCGAATGCCATGCCCGCCCGAATGTCCTGACTCTCTTCATGATCTCATGATTCAGTGTTGGAAGAAGGAGCCAGAAGAGAGACCAACCTTTGAGTATTTACAGTCCTTCCTAGAAGATTATTTTACTTCCACGGAACCTCAGTATCAGCCTGGAGAAAATCTATAGGCCCAGCTAATACTTGCAACACCATGGACATTGTGCAGCTGTAGAATGCAGAAATTCACAAAGTCTAGCTGCACACAGCCCTTAAATCTGCTTAGTAACTGGAATTCCTGTACACTGTGCACTAACTCATTTCTGCATATTGTTCCACACATTGTATAGATAATGTTGTTGATGAGGCACTCTAGATATTTAATTTCCATTTCACCACTTTTTGGTTCATAAGATTCTGACTAAAGAGGTAATGAAATGTTTCCTGGTGCAAGCAAAGCAAAGCCACGACAGCAAACAAGGAATTCTGTCTCCATAGTTAAGCTTCAATTATGTCTAGAGTTTATTGACTGTCCTTTCTATCCTTCAACAGCAAAAACAAATCAAGATTGATGCAAATCTGTCTTTCCAGAAGTTAATTATTTTTTAAATTCAGCTTGTACCTTGAGAAAAACAATAACCTTACCTAGGATTAACATAAACCAGAATTATCTCTTGTGCATGTGGTGCTCGGTCAGTTCATCTAGATTCAAATAAGACATATTTATCTTCAATTTACATCACTGGAAATTGCAACTGCATTAGGATATTTTGCACATTTCCTTTTCTTTAAATAGTGGTACAACTTGCCATTGTTACCATCCAATATTATTTATATTTTAATCCATTTTATATAAATTGAGGAAAATTAGTTCTGATCGAAATGGTGGTAAAATTGGAGCTATTTCAGTGTTTTGTGTCTCCCCTGGTGTGTATATAATGATATTGTTGGATGAGAGGAACTGAAACACTAGTTAAGTTGCCATCACTTCTGACTAGATATAGCAATAATGTGAACATGCAAGAGAAAAGCATTGTGTTTTTTTAAGGAAAAAACACATAGATTGGTTAGGTTGCTGAGATTGTAATACTCCTGTAGGTTAATAACAAGTGGATTTTGTAGCTGTAAGACATGCACCACTGTTTAATTTCTGTAGTTTTATACTAATGCAGCCAATTGTATTTAGTTGTCCTCAGGACTTCCCTCTGGTGGTCATCCTGAATATGAAAAACAATTCTGTTTCCCAGACAGAATTACTGAGATGACATGGATGTACATTACTGATACATAATTGATCTCACTACAACATGTGACATTTACAAAGTGTTGTACTTGGTTTACAACTGAACAATCCAGCTTCCAACAATTAGTTTACTTTTCAAAAGTGAAGTTTTTGAAATCTTTGTACTTTGGAATTATGTTGTAAATATTCAAGTATGCAGAATACAGAAGTATACAAGTGTACAGATGTATACAAGTATACAGAAATTCCACTGTCTGTACCACATACATACAATTCAATGTTAACCATTTTATTTTAAACTGGTTAATACTGTTACAATGGTAAAATAATTTCATATAAATTTATTAATTAGTCTGCACTAATATTTACAGTCTGGAATTTCAAGGTCTTTTACATTTTAATGTGTTATGTTTCTACAAGCTCTGTGTTGCACACAGTAGTAGAGTTGTTTATTAGGTTTTACCCCTATATTCTGTAGAATGTTCTATCACATGCTTCATGACATGGTTATGATTGGCTTTTAAGCCCATATAACATAGGAGCAGAATTTAAGCCATTTGGCCCATCAAGTCTGCTCTGCCATTCAATCATGGCTGATAAGTTCCTCAACCCCATTCTCTCGCTTTCTCCCCATAACCCTTGATCCCCTTGATCATCAAGAACCTATCTATCTCAGTCTTAAATGTACTCAATGACCTGGCCTCCACAGCCTTCTGTGGCAATGAATTTCATAGATTCACCACTCTCTGGCTGAAGAAGTTTCTCCCTATCTCCGTTCTAAAAGGTCTTCCCTTTACTCTAAGGCTGTGGCCTCGAGTCTGAGTCTTTCCTACCAATGGAAGCATCTTCCCAACATCCACTCTGTCCAGGCCATTCAGTATTCTGTATGTTTCAATTAGATCCTCCCTCCTCCTTCTAAACTCCAATGTGTATAGTCCCACAGTCCTCAAACGTTCCTCATATGTTAAGCTTTCCATTCTTGGGACGATTCTCGTGAATCTCCTCTGAAACTACTCCAGGGCCAGTACATCCTTCCTGAGTATTGTGTGCAGTTAACACAATACTCCAAATGTGGCTTGATCAGAGCCTTATAAAGCCTCAGGAGTACATCCCTGCTTTTATATTAAAGTCCTCTCAAAATAAATGCCAACATTGCATTTGCCTTCCTGACTACTGACTCAACCTGCAAGTTTACCTTGAGAGAATCCTGGACTAGAACTCCCAAGTTTCTGCACTTCAGACTTCTGAATTTTCTCCCCATTTAGAAAACAGTCCATGCTTTTATTCTTCTTACGAAAGTGCATGACCTCACACTTTCCCAGGCTGTACTCTATCTCCCACTTCTTTGCCCACTCTCCTAACCTGTCCAAATCCTTCTGCAGCCTCCCTGCCTCCTCAATACTACCTGTCCCTCCACCTATCTTTGTATTGTCTGCAAGCTTAGCCAGAATGTCCACAGTTCCTTCATCTAGATCATTAATGTAGAAAGTGAAAAGTTGTGGTCCCAGCACTGACCCTTGCAGAACACCACTAGTCACCGGCTGCCACCCTGAGAAAGGCCCTTTTATCCCCACTCTCTGCTTTCTGCCAGACAGCCAATCTTCTATCCATGCTAGCACTTTGCCTCTAACACCATGGGCCCTTATCTTACTCAGCAGCCTCCTGTGCGGCACCTTGTCAAAGGCCTTCTTGAAGTCCAGGTAGATAACATCCATTGGCTCTCCTTGGTCTACCCTGCTCATTACTTCCTCAAAGAATTCCAGCAGATTTGTGATTTATTTGTGATTTTGAGCATCCTGGATGAACAATGACAATTTGCTTTCATGGTTCTCTACTCACTGCTATTAAAAAAAGAGGCGCAGCAAAATGCAGGGACTATAAGCCACTGATTGTTATGCCTTTGACTGCATTATAAGTACAACAAAATTTTATAATGCAATTATGTAGAAGAGATCAACTTTATTGATTTCTCTTTAAGAAATCTCCTTTAACTCATGTGGTACTTGCTGTATTGTGGCTTTTATAGTAACATCTTCATAGTTTTATTACTATTGGGTACTATGATAATCTAGAAAAATATACGAGATCCCAGAGCTTCCCAGTAAAATACACACCATTTTTCACAATGCAAACTATTTATTCCTTTTTTCTTTATTTGCATTATTTCCTGAATTCTCCATTTAACTCCTGTGAAGAATAGTGTTGAAGTCGACCCCCCCCACCAGTAATTTTTGTTTACTATTGATCAGTTTGTAGATTAGTATCGACACATTGCTGACATAAACAGCTGTTGCCTTAAACATTGAAAACATTGACTTTGACTGCAGGTTGGGGAGTACAGGCTACAACCAGGTCAGGAGGGTGGATTGGCTCCCTTCTTTTGATCACCTCAATTGCCAGTAACAAATATTTATTGTTCTGTTTAGTACAAAGCTATATTTAACTGTAATAAAAATGTAGTTTTGTTTTAGCAGTATGGAGCCAAATACAGGGTTTTTACTTGATTGAAAGGAAGAGCAATGTTATTAACTGCTGAATATGAAAAAGTAATAAAATGCAGTGTTAAGTATGGATTTATGTAGGTAGAATGATAAACGTAGATATGACCCAGTACTAAAGGAAGATGGAAAGCACAAATAGTTTAAAGTCATTAGGGTGTCCTTGAAATGTAAAGACTTTAACCTGAGACTGTGGTTGTTTAATTGATGTCTTTCATCTTTGATGGTGATAGATTTTGTAGATCATTTTAAGTTCTTGTTGTTCAGCTGTTTCTCTCCAGTTTGTGTTGTCACTGGACACTTTGTCCGTCAAGAAGCCAAGAGAGTGATTTTCCTAAAGGTGGTTCCATCACAAATCCATCCCCCTAGCCCACCCCCAAAAACAGTTCCTTGAAATACAACCTTGTTTTTGGGTAATTTCATCTTCAGAAGTTATGTTTCTTTTGGCTTGCTAATCATTGCCAAGGTTCCATTCCCAATTTGTGAAAATCTGTATGTAGGGGTAAATTAGAAATCGGACATGAGGGTTTCTTCACACATGACTGAGTTTCAGTGCCTTCTAACAAAATGTTTATGGGATGGTCTTTATTTATTTTAAACTTTGTTTCCTGACTTGGCCAGCCTGTGATCAGCTGACTTCTGTGGCCATTTCAAATTTATGTTCTTACTTTTTTTAAAACCATTCAGTCAACAAAAGTCCCAGGTATTGAAATCATCTGATGGCATTCAGAAGTCATATTTTATCACTCTCATTGCAAAGCTTTGCCGTTAACTGTTTAGATGAGTGCAGTATTCAATTACTCATGGTTTGAAGCACACGGAGACTTGGCTGAAATGAAAGGCTGATAAGGGATTGTCCTTGATGAAGCTGAAGATCCCAAACCTCTTTACACCTGTCATCGTATTCACCCATTTCAACGGAACAATCTTGCTTATTTAAACATTGAAAGTGAACATTAGCTTACACGCTTTAATATGAGTTTAGGTTTGAACTACATGCAACCACTTAAATGAATAATGCATTGCCAAGGCCCTTATTTCATTTTCTGACTGTGAGCGAACAGTAATCACTACATGTGTTTACATCTGGAAGGGCAAGAAATTGTGAAACTGAAAATGCTTGTTAATATTTCCCTGTGAATTCCTAATGAGTGTGAATAATCATTTTGTGCAAACTCAATTTGTTATTTAACAGCATCTAACTGTATTTGGCAATGCCTCCTACAAGGAATCGCAGGCATCTCTTTTGTCCTTCCTTTACTGTGAGTGCAACACTGTGTACTAAATCTTGAGTAGGTGTACATTAAGGGTGTGAGGAGAAGGAATAACAAAGTCTGTAATGATTTGGCTGGAACGTTCTTCCTATGAACTGGGGGAGAATTCCAAACTTGTGGGCAAATTATTATAAGGACACTGCAGTCAAACAGGGGCATCAGTTCAGTCAGTCCTTTGTATATACTATACAGTATTAAAGATTTTAGGTGGATAACATACTGTTCAAGATTTGAATTTTGGGCTGGATAAACCAACAAAACATGCGCTGAAGTGACAATTTTAATAATTCCTTTCCTTTAAATCTCTGGTTTTCTATTGCCTATATATATTGAAAAGCCATTTTTTTTTTCCATTTAAAAAAGAATGATTCGTGTATGTAATGCTTTGGTTACTGTGGTACTTTTGACATGGTGTATACATTCCCACAGCCTAAGCAGAGAATATATTTATTTCTAGCTCTGCTTTTGTTTTGTTCTTATTTTTTTACAAAAAAACTTTGCATTTTGAAAACCTTAATAAAACTCACCTTTGTATGTAGTTGCACACATTTCTGCTGTGTATAAATTTCATGTTCAGAATGGAGTCTTTTTTGTAATTTTGGGAAGGGTGGGGAGGAAATTCATTTTGCAAGTCCATGTTCCTTTTATTGTGCAATTAAACAAACATGATTAAACTTCTTGATGATATCATGGCATTTTTCTGCAAACTAATGAAAATGCAAATTGTTTTTGTGCCTGATTGTGGAGTAAATTTATTTTTCCCCATTAAATTGCAGTTGCCAATGAAATGATAATTTGATTGATAGAGTCATACAGCACAGAAGCAGACCCTTCGGTCCAACTCGTCCATGGCAACCATGTTTCCCAAACTAAACTACTCCCACTTGCCTGCATTTTATCATTATTCTGCTAATTCCAGGATCTGCCATGGTGGGATTCAAACCCCGGTTCCCAAATCATTAGTAGTTTACCGCTAATACTACTAGGCCATTGCCTCCCTTCTGATCATTCAAATTTTCTAACTAGCTCAGAAGTTTAAAAACTTCCGTGTGAATAATTTTATATTGTTAATAGCAGGATTGATACAGCACAAGAAACTACATCTAAGTGCCACATGTTGTTCACAAGATGTGCAAGGTTATTCCAGCCGATCAATAAGAAGGTGAACTTTACATTTAGGGAAAAATTCCCATGGAATTATGGAATACAGGTACAGTCAATGAATAGGAGGTTAATTATAAAAGCAAACTAATTTTCAAAGCTTTATATGTTAACAGCTATGTTTAATCAAACCGAATCTGAAGATGCTTTATATCCTTTTCAATGGACGATTGAAATGTGGATAACCTTCAGAATAAGGCAAATTTAACAAGATACTTAGATGGTATAACTAATTAAATACTTCAACACTAATAAGTTAGCAAAGTGCTCACTAAGTATACTCATATGCTTGGAGTTCTATTGTTGATTGTGATCAGGATTGTGGAAGGGGTCTAGTGGCACAGAGATAGTATCCTTCTGAGCCAGAAGGCCAGGTTTCAAATCCTACCTGCTTCAGAGGTGTGCCGTAGCATGTCTGAACAGGTTGATTGCAGATTTTTACTCAGAATTATGTGTAATTTGCCACTTCAACAGGAATGTTAACATGCTTAAAATCAATGATGATTCAAACCTATTTAGAGTCTGCAACAAAATGCACCAAATAAAGTCATAGCTTCTGCTTATGGCCCATAACCTTTAGGAAAAGAAAATCGGGATATGCATTACATCCATTTTTAACATGATCCTAAAATTATTGGATAAAGATCATATGTAGAACCAAAATTCTAAATCTATAGTTTATCAGGTTCCTTAAAAATATAATAGAGGAAGGGAGTGAGAAGAGAGCCTCAAATTCTCCCATTTGCATAAAACAAATTAACGTTAACCCCAATCAGTAGCACACCAGTCTACCCCTCTTGAGCCTTATTAGCAGTAGGGATACGGGCTTCTCAACACTCCAGTGGGAGGAGCAGGTCCGTCCAGCGGCCTAATCAAGCAACAGCTTCAGCAACATACTCAATTCCACCCATCAGCCGTGACAACCGCCTCTTCTGTGGTGAATGAACAGAACGGTCAACAACTCAACTCTCATTTACCCTCATTCTTGTTTTTTTTTTCTGTTTCTTTCCCATCTTTTTCACACTGTTGCCTCACTTGGTCACTTCTAATGTACCGCATACCTTCTTCAACGCTTCTGAATTCTGCAGCCTCCTCTTCCATTGTTCTGCATTTAGCCTCAGTTTACCTCATGTCTGAAAAACCTCAAAGGAATAAACAATTTCAAAAACCCTTTTTAACTGTTGGACCACTCATCTTTATCGTGGCTAAATTAACTTATCTGAACCAGAATACTAACAGAAATTGACAACTGACTTGAGCCCATTGATTTAACAGAAAGAAAAATGAGGTGATCACCATAATTCGTAATTCTGTACTCAGAAGTATAACAATGTGGTCACAGAGGCAGAATAGGTTCTTTGGAACTCAATAATAATTATTTCATGCAAATAGTGATCATCTGGGCAAGGTATTGATAGGTCAGCAATATTTACGGAATTGTACTCCAGCAAGAAGTCAACATCTTCAGGATGGGAGAACCAAAAGTGATTTTACCAATTACTTGCATTTATTTAGTTATTCATATGTGGGTTGTAGGTGTTGCTGGTCAAACTAGCATTTATTGCCATCTCAAATTATCCTTGCTGGGCCATTTCAGAGGGCCATTAAGAGTCAATCACATTGTTACAAGTCTGGAGTCACGTGTAGGTCAGACAGCTAAAGGTGACAGATTTTCTTTCTCAAACGACAAAAGTGATGCAACTGGGCTTTTGCAACAACAATCACAATTAGGCCAACTTTTAATTCCAGATTTTTAATTGAGTTCAAAATTCACTGTCTACCATGGTGTGATGCAGATCCATGTCACTGAAGAAGTCATATTGGACTTAAAACTTTGCTTTCTTCAGATTGTTTCTTTCCTTTATTCATTCACAGGATGAGGGTGTCACTGACCAGGCAGCATTTATTGCCCAGAGGGCAGTTTCAGAGTCAGCCACATTGCTGTGGGTCTGGAGTCACATGTAGGCCAGACCAAGTAAGGATGGCAGTTTCCTTCCCTAAAGAACATTAATGAACCAGATGGGCTTTTCCCGACAATCAGCATCGTTAGATTCTTAATTCCAGATATTTTATTGAATTCAATTTCCACCATCTGCGATGGTGAGATTCGAATCCAGGTCCCCAGAATGTTATCTGGGTCTCTAGAGGCCATTGCCTGCCCTATGCTGCCAGACTTGCTGTGTTGCTCTAGCACTTTCTATTTTTATTTGCAGACCGTTCTGCAGGAATCTTTATTACTAACATTTCCTTACACCACTGCCTTCCTCAACTTCTACAATGTTTTTATTGCATTGATATCAGAAGCCATTCAGCATTTCCGGCATATCCTTCTATAAAAGATATGGTTAGAAGTCTTATGACACCAGGTTATAGTCCAACAGGTTTGTCTGAAATCACAAGCTTTCAGAGCACTGCTCCTTTGTCAGGTGGAAGTGACTTGACGAAGTCACCTGACGAAGGGGCAGCACTTTGAAAGCTTGTGATTTTAGATAAACCTGTTGGACTTTAACCTGGTGTCGTGTGACTTCTGACTTTGTACACCCGAGTCCAACACCATCACCTCCATATCCTGACTATAAAAGATATGGTTGTCTTATACACAGCATTTAGCTGTCCCTTGATTAATTCTGGAGTTTGTATTTCTATTAATTTACCTGAGAAATCAGATATTTGTCACCTTTCACATGAATAAGTGTACTGAACAATAGTCCTGAAATTGTCTATAACCAATTTGTTCTCTTGCCCTACAATCTTGATTTAGCATGATATAAAACTCAACGTTAACTGTTTCTACACCATTTTGTACTTTGCATACCTCAATAAGATGCCATCCTCTTGGCTTCCCACATCATTCAGTCTCCTGGGACCATGGATTTTAAATGTTAGAGATAGTAAGAACTGCTGATGCTGGAGTCAGAGATTGCACAGCGTGGAGCTGGAGGAGCACAGCGGGCCAGGCAGCATCAGAGGAGCAGGAAAGCTGACGTTTTGAGTTGGGACCCTTCTTCAGAAATGTTAGTTTGGCTCGATAGCAAGATTGTCTTTCTATGAACCAGAAGATCATGGATTCAATCCCAACTGCTAGGACTTGAACACATAAAAGATGACTATCGAGTAACAGGGTGAGAGTGCTAAATTCTGTTCTGCCTTTGGATGTGACATTTAACAAAAGCCCTGTCTATTTGTTCATATGAATCAGCACTGGCATTGTCCACATCAAAGTGCAATGGCTTGGCTACAGCCATTAATGTCATGGTTACAGGACCCTGACATCAGCAGTTAAGGATTTGAATGCTTGTGAGAGGTGAGCAATGCTTGGCCATTACAACATCTTTCATTCTACGGATGCCTGAGGAGTTGCTCATTTCTCAAATCACATGGCTGTGATTTAACCAGTGAAAATGACACTAGAGTAGACCTTAAGGACTGCACATGAGGATCTATTTACATAATTTACAAAATGCTTTATGTACTATGTGTGACCCATGCCATTTATGTACCTTCAGTACATATTATTTCTTTCCTCCCATTGCATCTAATTATAATCCTGCCTTCTGCAGTTGGGGTGGAGGGAGTCTGCTCTGTCCTAGGCCCTGTTGGCCTGGAAGACTTGGGTGGTTGTCTTGGTTGGTGTTTGGACTGAGAGAGCCTAGGCTCACTGAGAGTGTCTATCCTTGTTGCGGACTTACCCTCCTTGGCTTAGACCTCTACAGACTTTGGCATCAGAGGCAGGAATGGTGTGGAGATACCAGGCACTTCTGAGGGTTCTTCTGTGCGTCCCTGCTGGCATCACATGGCTTCTCTTGAAAGGAAGAAGCCATCTGGAGTGAAGGTGAGAGCCGTTGTCATTGACGCTGAAAATCTACAGCTAGAGTTGATGCAGGTCCATGCACATATCTGGTAGACATTAAGTGCTGGACTAAGTCTCCATGGCGATCACCAGCCTGCCACCAACCAGGCCCCTGTGCACAAAGCGGAGAGCTAACTGGCATTTCTGGGCCATTTCCTCAGTAAGCAGGGCAGATCCTGGCTCGCAGTGTGTCTGAAGTGGTGAGCAGCTGGACTTCAAAATGAATGCGGTGCCAGCAATCTAAATGCCGAAGATCCCAGCAGTTGGCAAGAGTTTCTGCCTGTCCTGCCACATGATTCCATGAGGTAGATGCTGAAGAGCCCAGATGCGTAGTCAATAATATGATGACTGTGTGAGATAAGTCCCTCTGAACCACAGCAGCCATTGCTGCCAACTCGCTTGAGAAAACACTTTAATTGAAAAGGGGAACATTCTGTCTGGGTTTCTGTGATTATTGGCTGTGGAACCAAACTGTGAGCAAATTAGCGGTCATGTTTGCCTACACCACACGAGTGACTATACTTCATCAATAATTTATGGGACTGTGAAGTGGTTATGGAACATTCATTGGTTTTGGATGTGAAAAATGTTGCAGAAATCCCTTGTTCTTTCTCTCGATGACGAGAGAAGAAAACAATATTATTAAATTCAGGAAAAGCACTA